AACCAAAATAATAATAATAATAATAATAATAATAATAATAATAATAAACTGGTAAATGTTTGTTCTATACACCTACTTTACAGGCCTAGATTCCCTAGGCTGTGTGAATGGGGGTCACAGGAAGAAGAGTTTAGAAGCCATGGTCAGAGTTTATGTCTAAGTCCCATAGGTGTTACTTGTCCACTGTCAGGCACCTGAGCCCAGGGCCAGCTGAGGGCCATAATGCCTAGGCCTAGAAAACAGGGGCACGCACAGATGTCTCAAGGTAGGAAAGAGTCTAACAGTATCTTCTAGCAAAGCTTACTTAAGCCTTCACCTTCTCCTGTAAATATAGTTCTGAGAAATCCAGGCTTATGCTTTCTATAGTTAGTTAGTCAGTTAGTTAGTAGTGGATGAATTCAGGGCCTCATGAATACTAAGCACAAGCTCTAGCACTGACCTATGTATATTTTGTGACGATTTTGTTTTGTTTTGTTTTTTGTTTTTCGAGACTGTTAGACCCCTGAAAACTCAAGTATCCGGGGTCCCAGGCCACGTTCTCGGTCACCCTAATCACAGAATGGAGGTGAAAGCTTGATGCAAATTGCATGAGGCTTTATTGTAGTTTAACTAGCTAACCCCATGTTAGCTGGGGTCTTTGACCCACCCACCATGGCAGATGGCTAGCAAAGACGGCTCCTAGGGTCTCCCGAAAGATCTTATAGGGCAGCGTAAGGGGAGTGTCTAGGGGTACGCACAGGCTCAGGATTGGTGTGCCTCCAGGCTTGGAGGGCTTGCCCTGTGTTGATTGGTCAACTGGTTGTTATGGCCCATGGGCCCTCCCAGGGTGGTTGCTATGCTCTCTACGTCATTGCTGTGCGCTTGTCCGTAAAGCACACCCAGGGTCGTAAAGCATAGCGCCACCAGCTAACTTCTGATTACAGACACCAGCCTGCCTCTGCCTACCCAGTGCTCGGATTAAAAGCGTGCACCACCACCACCCGGCAAGGCTATAACTTTTGTTTTTCAAACAGGGTTTCTCTGTGTAGCTTTGGGGCCTGCCCTGAACTTGATCTGTAGACCAGGCTGGCCTTGATCTCATAGAGATCCACCTGCCTCTGCCTCCCATGTGCTGGGATTAAAGGCGTGAGCCACCAAAGCCTGGCTTTTGTGACTATTTTTAAATGTTATTTAGTAGTGAGTGTGTGTGTGTGTGTGTGTGTGTGTGTGTGTGTGTGTGTAAGAGCCAGTGTGTGCTCAGGAATGCATGCTGTCTGTCGGGTGGGGGACACTCGTGTGTGTAGGTCAGAGGACAATTTCTTTGAGTCCATTCTCTCTGTCCACCTTTATGTGAGTTCTGGGGTTGGAATTCAAGTCCTGAGGCCTAAGCCACAAATATCTTTATTCACTGAGTCGTCTCGCCGGACCCTAAATTTCATAAAGTAAAACTAGCTGCCTTTTGTACGAAACATCTAACAAGTCAGATTTCAGTCTCACAAGTAAGTGTTCTGTAGAACTGGAGTGACAATCTAACAGCTAGGAGCTCCTGGTTCACAACCAAGGGGACCGAAGTTCAGATCCCAATCCCAACCAGAAGGGTTGCCGTCCCTGTAAATGCCTAGGACCCCAGCTTAGGACGGAGTGGAGAAAGGCAGGTTCCTGGAGCTTGCTGGCTTCTAGCCTAGCAAACGCAAGGCCCAGGAAAAACACAAGGCCCGGGTTTGGGCAGATAGCTTGCCTCACAGGAGTAGACAGAGTGACAGGAGACGTCACCCTTCTGGCTTCTGAGCACATGCAGCACTGTGTGTACTCACACACAGATAAGTAAAAAGTTTTCTACTTTTAAAGTTATAGTCTTTCATTTTAAAATCACCGTGGCACACACATTTAATCCCGGCACTCGGGAGGCAGGTGGATCTTTGAGTTCAAGGCCAGCCTGGTCAACAGAGAGAGTTCCAGGGCAGCCAGGGCTACACAGAGAAACGCTGTCTCGAAACATAAATAAATAACAAAGTAAATAAATAAATAACTGTAGATTCAAACGTGGTTATGGTAAATAACAGAGATTCTGTTTACCATTTACCCAGTTTCTCTCAGAGAAAACACACTGCACAGTGCTAAGAGTACAACCAGGACATGGGGTGAAAGAGCTGAGATACAAAATGTCTCCAAGGCCACAAGGGTTATCATGAACTCTCTTGGAGCCAAACCCCCCCTTTACTCGGTCCATAGCAATGTCAGATCTGCTGTCCATTTGTTTCATTTTAGCGTTTCAAGAAGGTTACATACTGGGGCTGGAGAGACTGCTTAGTTTAGCGGTTAAGAGCACTGACTGCTCTTCCTCCAAAGGGCCGGGATTCAATTCTCAGCACCCACAGGGCTGCTCATAACTGTCTAACTCCAGTTCCAGGGGATCTGACACCCTCCTCACGCAGACATACATGCAGGCAAAACACCAAGATGCAGGCACATAATAAATAAATAAGCCGGGTGGTGGTGGTGCACGCCTTTAATCTCAGCACTGGGTTGGCAGAGGCAGGCGGATCTTTGTGAGTTGAGCCCAGCCTGGTCTACAGGGTTCCAGGCCAGACTCCAAAGCTACAGAGAAACCCGTCTCGAAAAAACAAACAACAACAACAAAAAAAGAACAAATATCAAAAGTTCTTGTTTGGTGTGGTGGCACACAACTTTAATCCCAGTACTGGGGGGGAGACGGGGGAGTGTCTCTGTAGGTTTGAGACCTGCTTGGTCATGGTTTACATAGTGAGTTCCAGTGAATGAAAAAAATAAGGACATAACATCCCGAGATAGAAGAATAAAAAGACAAAACAAAACAAGGTATGTTTGAGGGGAACGTTTATAACATGAGGGAAAGGAC